ATTGCAGCCGTGGCATGCAAGAGCAGGTATCGACGAAATACATGTCTGGGAATTTAGCTGATACCTGCATCCCCAGTACTGTGAACTACGCTGTAACGTTCCACAAGTTGCGCTGAGTCGATTAAACGTAGTGAATACTGTCCACGCATATCTGGCACTGTGATTAAGTAACTACGTGCCGGTGCCCTTCCCCCTCTACAGCCGATTCCCATCGCGCCACTCGCTGAAACTATCTTCCCCCATTCCACCTCGGCAACACCCCGGCTAGGGATACAAGCTCTGAATACTCGTCAGGAAACCTTCTTGCGGCCCATGCTGAGCAGTTTTTGTCGGCTGTATAGTCAATGTTATTCCCCTGTTGTTCGTCATTGTCAGTGTTCATCACCATTGCCAACGAAAGTGAGACTGAATAGGGTCTCAACAAGTAGGATTGCCTGCGGCCAACGCCTCTAACGACTGGGCCACGGGCCCGTTGTCCTGTCGGTTTCGATCGGGATTATACAATGAAGTAACATTCTGCCTATATCATGCGCCGCTGTGCGGCTAATGGTTGGGATCGAAAGAGAGAGAGCCCCTAAGGCACGACGGATCGAGTGAGTTCCGTAAGAACGATCGTAAGCAACCCTCAACCATTGTATAATGCCGATCTAAACTGACAGGACAGCGGGCCCGTAGTCCAGTCGTTAGAGACTTTGGTCAATTGATTGCTCCAATGGCAACCTGATTAAATGTATAGTAAATTACCGTAAATTTTATTTCACCATTGCATATTTGCCTGCCGACCACTACACACAGTACTACCTCCCTAACACCCGACACATTGATGAAGCATGCACTGTTGAAGTCATGTGGCGTTGCCTGGTGCCTGGCCAGGTTTTTTTGCGGCGCGCGTAGGCTGGCTGTTGCATTTAAGTCACTGCTATTGGGCCCAACATCACCAATTGATGAATTATCGACCCGTGAATGGGAGCAGGGACTCATAGTGATGTCGACTCATAGGACTGCGGTTCTACGGAATTCAGCACATATTTCTCACTAGATACAAGCTCGTGCACTGTTAAACCATCACTTAGTACTAGTTTGGAGGGTCGCAGGCCGACGAAACAACTGCGTACTTGTCGTACCTTGTAAACATCGGACTGACAACTGCGTGATGGCATCGGATATTACGCTACCAATCGTCCGAACTCTAAAATACATTCATGATGATTCTGACTGTGAAAGAGATTTCTGTAGCCGAATGTCGCATGGTTTATATGTCACCATAGGATTGATAAGTCCTGCGTACAGTATAAATTGCCTGTGTATTGCACCGGGGAAGGGGTAATTCTGGGTGCGACAAGAAATGGGATCGATGTAAATTTCCTACTGAATATTGTATGAATGCGGAAAGAGGACTAGGTCGTGTACAGATGAACTTATTTGTTCAGACAGTCAGCACCCGACCACGGAATTGTTTGTCGCTACATGTTAATAAGCACTTTTCCGCAAATCGATAGTTGCACCAAGTGGCCTTACCAAAGGAACTGTTCCCTTCTTATTTAGTACTGTCATTTACGAGCTGACAATTATCTTATCTCAGGAACCCCATGTTATTTTATGTACACAACAAGCATTATTGATAGAATGTTTGTGAATACTTACTTAAATCACTTCGTGCCAGCTTGTTACAGCTTCGCACCTCTTGAGTCGCATAAGGCGCGAAGAGGTTTGGTGACGGCTCAAATGTTTCGTCACTTCTGTCTCACAAACGTAGATGTGTCCGCACTCTATACCACAGAGTCGAAATACACTGCATCACGCCAGAAGATAAAAGGGCCGAACGATTGTAACTTGTGAACCTATTTGCAGCCACAGGTTATTCCAGAAATTTCATCGAGAGAAGCAGACGTCGGGCGCACAGACGACAGCCATATGATCAGCAACCCGAAGTCTGGAGGGCCATTGCTTACGTTAAAAGGACCTCTGAAGCGGTCTCGCGACTGTTACAACGCACCAGAGTAGACATGGCCCATCGACCACAGGCAAAAATTCGAAGCCACCTGATGCAGCCTAAGGATCCATTGCCACCCGCTAAAACCATAGCAGTCATCTACAAAATACATTCCAATGGGGGCGACTGCAGGTATGTTGGAGAAATCGGGCGAAAATTGCAAACTCGCCTACAACAGCAAAAATCGATCACTCGGAGGTTAGACCCTAACTCCCAAGAAGCAACACACGTTGGAGAAACAGGACATACTTTTGACCTCCAGAGGGCTACCATCTTAGCCCGAGGCAATACAAAAGCAGAACGGCTAACTCACGAGGCGTGGTTCTCCGATGCTCACTCTATCAACAGGCGTCTGAATCGTCCTGCAGCTTACAAACTCCTACGTCATTACAATCGTAGAGCTCAGGAACAAACAACCCCACCGGACTTAAGAAGACCTACGGAGGTATTTGGACGCTGATTTTAATCGGTGAGGAATAACAAGAACCGCCAGACAGACCGCCCGACAAAGGTTCAAAATAGAACAGCGGAGAAATATGTTTAATTCGATTGCAAGCGACAAATTCATTTACACTCAAAAATGCAAATTATTTTTAAATTGTTTCATTTGGTTCGGACGATTTGTCAGTTAATAAGAAACGCGAATACCATAGAGCTGGCCATTTTGAAGTTGTATTTGATTGAAGACAAAACACAAATATGTAAATGTCCCCAAAGTTCTACATCATTTTGCGAGTGTCCTCAAAATATTTGTCAGGTTATGAAGATTCTAAATTTGGTCATACAGAAGATTGCCTTTTGGTCGCATCACTGTTTCGCGCAGACATTAGCACAAACACAATGATATTTGCCGGTGGAACTACTGTCTGGGAATTTAGCTGCTACCTTCAATCTCAGTACTGTGAATCATGCTGTAACTTTCCACGAGCTGCACTGAGTCGTTTAAATGAAATGAATACTGTCCTTGTCTATCTGAGATTGTTATTAAGTAACTGCGTGTCGATGCCTTCCCTCTCTACAGACGATCTCCATCGTGCCACTCGCCACAACTCTCTTTTCCCACTCCACCTCGCTATTATTTCACGAGCCTCTCCTGTAGTTGGCGGCAGCAAGGCTTTCCCCACGAGTTTTTAGCAGGCATATCAGTGTCCCCTCCCCCTACATTCATACAGGTCTACCTCCTGTTGTAACTTAACCTACTTGTTTCATTAACTATTAACAGTTTCCCTCTGCTCCTATTAGCCATTTATGGTCACCGAATCCTTCTACTCTTTCGCGTACATGATTGTATTGCCATGTTAACGCCTCTATCCGGATCGGCCTTCATCAGGACTTATTTCAGTGTTTCGCTGACTCGCTGTCCGCTATCATCAGACGCGCTTTTGCCGATCTTATGTGAATGCCTGACGGAGGTAGTCGTGAAACTGATAATCGGTGGCATCCAGCGGTCTCATGTGAATTTTAGTGTTGTGTGAGTACGGACTGGCATTCCTTCGTCGCAGGCTCAGCATAAGTACTGCCAAAACTGTCAGAGGAGTGGTCGCGCGTGGCAGCTGTATCGCCTCCGGCTTCCTGGCTTACGATTTGTTCTGACCTTGGAGTAAATAGCTGATGGGTTTTCTGCACAGATTGAACATGTTTACTTGAGCCGGATACTAACGGCTTCAGAAGACCAACAGCGAGTATTTAGCAGCTGTCAAAGTACAATTAACTATTATATCTAAACACTCCCTGACGATGATCCGCTGGATGGGTGATTCCTCAACATTGTGCTGCTTTCTGATCGTGGATATTAAAATGTGTTTCCTTTGCTCTCAGCTAATGTACACGGCTGTATTAATATTTGCGTCCGGCTACTGTATAAAACGCCCTGGTAGGATGGTCTATCTGTACTATTCCAAACCGCATTGACTAATTCAGTCGTATTTCATTATATTTTATCTTCTTGATTTCGTGCTGACTGTCCTTCCAAATGAGGACCTACTGTTTCGGTAAATGTAAGTTGGACCGATGCATTGAATATGAAGTTGGATCAGCATCACTTTCTACTTGAAGAAGGAGACACGATCGCCGGGACAAGAGCTTTATTAGCCTGACGTTTCGGATTCCTACTCGAATCCATCATCAGAGACAAAAGAGCAGAAACGGGTGGTTTTTGCACAAGGGGCTGCGGTATTTATAGGATGCAGCAGCCATGCTACCGCATACCTATGAACGTTTACGGCTTCCCCCTTCATCCGGGATTGTCACACTTGGTGTGATCATTGCTTGATGGCCGACATTCGAGTCGAGTCACTTTCTACTCCATACATGCTAGTCCCTCGCAGTCTGTCAACCGGCTGCCTCTGAAGGAGGGCGTTATCAATGAGACTGCACTCAGAAGGCATTACGATCTGCCGAGCATATTAGGAGGAGAATTTAATTGTTCCCCACCTTAGTGAATCTGCGAGTCATGTGCTTTAACGCACTAAACTTTTTTGAGGCGGCTGCCTGGTCCCGTGGCCTCCTGCCGTGTGCAGTCGCTGACGTTACAAAAAAGCCTCTGTCTGCGCCTGCCACCTACCCGTTGGTATCTCCTTCCACATTGACTGGACTGCACTGCAAATGCGGATCTCTCATTAGTGAAAGTTTACATGCCGGCATGCGACTGTGAGGAAAGCTTAGCGGTGTAAGGAGTGCGGGGGTGTTCAGTTGTGGGTCCACGTGATGGTCGTAAAAGGTCACTCGTTTGCTTTCGGGTGCCGACTCCACCTATCGTCCGTTAACCGGCACCCAGCTCTTGCCTGTGACAACTCGAAGCTTGACTCTGCCTAGCGGCCACATGTCGGCAATGGCTCCTTCTTAACGTGGCCTTAATGGCACTCCCACCACAATGTGGGATCCGAGCCAGGCACTGGCGGCACGCCTAGGTGCGGCTTCGGCCGTGCCAGCCTCCAATTTCTGTTCTGTTGGTCCAAAACCTGGTTATCTGTTGTGTGAACCAGGGGGTGCTGAGTGGAGCTCCAAGATGAGAATCCATCCAGGTCATCTACCTACGGCCTCCCTCGTCTCCGGTCTTCTTGACTCTGTCTTGACACCGGGCTCAGGTGGGGAAGGAGAGAGTGTGGTAGATGCAGCACAAATCTACCGACACTATAAACCCCTAAGCATGTCACTGTCCCAGCTCCCACCCTGCTTCGGGGCATACGGTGGACATCGGCGAACTAGACGGTCGAACTATCGTGTGTGTGTGTGTGTGTTTGCCGGGGTGTAGGGGTGTCAGCGGTGGATTCACGTGATGGTCGTAGTGGTCGCTCACTTGCTTGCAGGTGAGACTACGCCTGGCGTCCATTTTCTGACACCCAACTCTCACCTGTGGCTCCACGTAGCTGGGCTCTGCTCAATGGCCACACCGCCCGCAACCGCCCCGACCGGCGGGCTAAACCAGGTGAGGGTATCCTTGCGCGTGCCTGCTCACACGGTATTGTTGTCTCCGCTGGCCGGATGGATCTTCGCGTCGACATCGTCGAGGCGAGGCTCTGCCTGGACCATCGCAGTGATTTTTCAGGGAAGTGAATTTCCTTTGTTCCTTTCTTTGTCTGTTTAAGTTTCGTGTTGTATGCTGCTCCTGTTGCCTGCTCTCTATATGTTAGTCCTTGCCTCTGTCTGTTAATAGCTAAATGAAAACTGTGCTTTATCTCGACTGATGTTATTCCTAACTTGTCGCACTCCCCTTCCTATTTGCCTGCTTAATTACTGCTGAATGTCGCTGTTGATGTCTGCTGCGACTGTTTTTCTGTCTGTCATTCTATGGCTCTCTGCTAACAGTTAGGTGTTACTGTCACTTCTGCTTCTGACTAATGAATGTATTTGATTGTCCATTCCAGTTGTAAGTTCCGTAGCATACTGTTGGTGTGTTTGTCCTCTCCTACTTAACTCCACCACATCACCACCAAGGTCCCAGACTAACTCGGGTCGTTCACTCACTAACAAAAAGTCGTGGCTCATAGTGGAGACCGGCAGTCGTCTGCGATAACCGGGCAGCCCTATTTAGGGGTTGCGCTGGCTGCCCTCGCGGGGGGAGGGGGCTAGAAAGGGTGCCCAAAAATTGCTGGGAACCACGCTGACTGTAGGCTGGCCGTGGCCGCAGACAAAACACACACCATCGAAACAGCCAAAACCGAGACAACAACAACAATCTCTCTCTTTCTTGTCCAGCCTATTCTCCTTCTTTCCCTAGTCGTAGTTTTCGCCGCCGCAATCGCCAGACTGGCAGGGGGAATTCGCTCACTCTGGCAACCTGGAATGTTCGTTTCCTGTTAGGCAATCCAAGGAGCAACCGACCGGAACGGAGGGCGGCGCTAGTGGCACGGGAACTTGCGCGCTACAAGGTGGACATCGCCGCACTCAGCGAGACCCGATTCTCCGAACAAGGCCAACGGACGGAGGTGGGTGCCGGTTACACCTTCATTTGGAGTGGTCGGCCCAGGGCAGAGCGACGAGACGCGGGTGTCGCCTTCGCCACCCTTAATGACATCGTGGAACGACTACCCAGTCTGCCGCAGGGCATCAACGATCGCCTGACGAGCCTCAGTCTGCTTCTCTGGGAAGGCAAATTCGCCCCCCATCATCAGCGCCTACGCTCCGCCGATGAGCAGGCCCCGACGCCGCCGCCACAAGAGACAAATTCTATGAGGACCTGCACGCCCTCTTGGCGACTGTGTCGAATGCGGACAACTTGGTTGTCATTGCCGACTTCAACGTCCGCGTCGGCAAAGACCATACTGCCTGGAGAGGAGTGCTGGGTCCCAATGGTTTTCCTGGCTCAAACAACAATGGACTGCTGCTTCTCCGCACTTGCGTAGAACACCGGCTCATCCTGACGAACACGTTCTTCTGTCGGCCGGATCGACAAAAGGCCGCCTGGAGGCATCCTCGGTCGCGTCAGTGGCACCTGCTGGACTATCTCCTCGTCCGGAGGCGAGATCAGTGAGGCGTGCTGGTGAAAAAGGCGATCGCGGGAGCTGACGGGTGGGCCGACCATCGCCTCGTCATTTCGAATATGCCTATTCGCCTACAGCCTCACAGGAGACCACAAGGTAAGCGACCCCAAGGTAAGCTGAATATTGCGTTGTTGTTTTTGCCCGCTCATCATCTCCATTTCAGCAATGAACTAGCTCAAAGGCTAGCCAACCTTCCTATCGCTGCCGACGCCGCCGCTGCCGAGAACGCCTCCGTGGTGAACCGCTGGTGTCAACTGCGAGACACGGTTCAGTCGACGGCGTTCGCTGTCCTCGGTCGCGCTCCCCGCCAACAGCAGGACTGGTTCGACGACAACGACGCCGCCATCAGAAATCCGCTAGCTGAGAAGAACCGCCTACACAAAGCCTACGTAACTCACCCCACTGATGCCACCAAAGCTGCCTTCTACCGCAGTCGCCGCCAACTTCAGCAACGACTGCGCGGGATGCAGGACGCCTGGACTACTTGCAAAGCTAAGGAGATCCAAGGGTACGCGGACCGCAACGAATGGAAGAACTTCTCTGCGATCAAAGCTGTCTACGGACCGCCGACAAGGAGAACTGCTGCTCTCCTCAGCGCCGGCGGAGGCACCCTCCTGACTGAGAAGACACAAAATCTACGGCGATGGGCCGAGCATTTTCGAGGCGTCCTCAATTGCCCCTCCGCCATCTCTGACGCCGCCATCGACCGCCTGTCGCAAGTGGAGACAAACGTGGACCTCGACTTCCCGCCATCTCGCCCAGAGACCATCAGGGCCGTGCAGCAGCCCTCCAGCGGGAAAGCACCCGGATCCGACGCGATCCCTGCTGAGGTCTACAAACACGGAGGTCCCCAACTGATGGATCACCTGACTGCGCTCTTCCAAGAGATGTGGCGTCAAGGTGAAGTTCCGCAAGATTTCGAGAACGCAATCATCGTGCATCTCCACAAGCGAAAAGGGGACCGCCAAGTCTGCGAAAATCTCCGCGGCATCTCCTTACTGAACATCGCCAGGAAGATCGTCGCTCGCATCCTCCTCAATCGTCTGAATAATCGTCTGGAACAGGACCTTCTACCGGAAAATCAATGCAGCTTCCATCGTCATCGCGGGACCACAGATATGATCTTTGCCGCCCGCCAACTACAGGAGAAGTGCCAGGAGATGCGGACCCACCTGTACTCTACCTTCGTGGACCTGAAAAAATTCTTCGACACGGTGAATCGTGAAGGACTGTGGATGATCATGCAGAAATTCGATTGTCCGGAGCGATTCACTCAGATAGCGCGTCAGCTGCACGACGGTATGATGACGCGAGTCACGGACAACGGAGCTGTCTGAGAGGCATTCGCAGTGACCAACGGAGTGAAGCAGCGATGCGTCCTGGCGCCTACCCTCTTCAGTTTTATGTTATCTGCCATGCTGATGAACGCCTACCGCGACGAACGCTCCGGGATCCGCATCGCCTACAGGACGGACGGTTACCTTTTTAATCAACGACGGATGCACTTCCAATAGCGCGTATCCACAACCACCGTTCACGGACTTCTCTTCGCCGAAGACTGCGCCCTGAACACCACCTCGGAAGAGGAGACGCAACGGAGCATGAACCTGTTTTCCGCCGCCTGCGAGAGCTTCGGTCTGGCCATCAAAGCGCAGAAGATGGTGGTCATGCATCAACCGCCACTCCCCCCAACACGCCACAAATTAGCGTGAACGGAACCCAACAGCAAGTGGTGGATAACCTCCCGTACCTGGGCAGCACCCTCGCCCGTAACACCAAAATCGATGACAAAGTCGCTCGCAGGATCTCGAAAGCCAGTCAAGCATTCCGCCGCCTCCAAAGCACACTTTGGAATCGTCATGGTCTCCAACTTAGCACGAAGCTGAAGATGTACAAGGCCGTCATCCTGCCGACGCCGCTGTATGGAGTGGAGACTTGGACAGTGTACACAAAGCAGGCACGCTGTCTGAAACACTTCCACCTCAGTTGTCTCCGTCGAATCCTGAGGCTGAGCTGGCAGGACCGCATCCCCGACACTGATGTACTGGAGCGGACGGGAAACCTCGGCATCTACACCATGCTGAGACAAATGCAGCTGCGCTGGAGCGGCCACCTGGTGCGCACGAACGACGAGCGACTACCCAAACGACTCTTCTACGGAGACGTCGCGAGGGATTCTCGCCGTCAAGGAGGCCAAATTCGTCGATACAAGGATACCCTGAAGGCCTCCCTGAAGCACCTGCAAATCAACCCGACCAACTGGTTAGAGCTCGCCCGCGATCGCCCGACCTGGAGGAGAACAGTGAAGACGGACGCTGTTATCTACGCGGCCAACCGCATCGCCGCCGCCAAAGCGAAACGCGAAGCCCGCAAATAAAAATTGCGCCCAGTCCGCAACGCCGATGCACAACCGCTACCAACGTGTCCTCGATGTCAACAGACCTTCCGGGCTCGAATCGGACTTGTTGGACATCTTCGTATCAACTGTACCTCTCGGAGTGCACCAACTGCCTTCCCTTAGCCCGCCTCTTCCTCGTCCTCTCTGCCGCCAACTACCTCTTGCCTTTCTTCTGGACCACCACTTCCATCCTCCTCCTCCTCCACCACCACCACCACAACCTCCTTCTACTCAACCACTATCCCAACGACGGCCGCTCAGGCGGGCGTCTCGCACATCACCAACCCTGACATAACAACCGACACCACCCCCACTTCTTCTGACCCCAGCGATGAGGATCAGAACTACACCTGCCCTCGCTGAGACCGCATCTTCACCTCACACATCGGTCTGGTCGGTCACTTGCGAATCCATCGCACAAACACTGGCGAAGCAGTGCCTGTAACACCAACCTGCACCCACCGCACTCGCCTCCACTGCCCGTACTAACCTCGCACCTTCACGCATCGCATGGCTACACCACACCATCACACCTTACCCCTTTTGCTGCATGTGTGATCCGAGTCTGAGACTACAAATGTGCACTAACCACTGTGGCTTGGCAGACCGTCGACTGACACCCAACTCAGTCCACGCAGTCTGCCCAGTTGTGTGTATTTTTGTGTTGTGACGGACTGATGGTTTGAGATCCAGGCTGTCACGGCTCCGTCTTAACCGGTCTGTGACCCCCTCCCACGGGTGTGTGTGTGTGTATTTCTTCAGTCGATGACTGGCTGGTCACTCAGGATTTGAAGAGTGATGGCTCTGGCTAAGCGAAGGACTGCGTGTCTCCCTTCTGGGCCTTAAGGATTGTGAGCGTATGTTATGTCAGTATTCAGCAAACCGTGGCCCTCGCAGTCTGGTGCACGGTAGTTGTACTCTGGCACCTGATTCCCTGTCTGCAGAAGCGCTTACGTTCCCTCTTGGTATACAAGTCGTTTGGATGGCTGCCCAGTAGTCCTCGTCTCTCCGACGCATTGCTTTTGGTTACAATCCTGGTTAAGTCTTTGCGGTGGGCCAGCGGGTGTGGGGGCACGCCTAGGTACGGGCTCGGCCATGCCAGCCACCTGCGACCTCTCCCGCCTCCGGCTTTTTTGACTCTCTCTTGACACCGGGCTCAGGTAGAGGAGAAGGAGTGATCCCGGTGGATGCTGTGCAAGTCCATTACTACTATGAAATACTCCATGCAAAGGTCCCCGCGCCGGCTTCAACTTGCTATGGAGCACATGGTGACCATAATCGGTTGCGACGATCAAATTATCAGTGGTGTAAAGCGAGGGCGGGCCTTGTTCTTAGCGATAATTCGCGAGTACGCGCATACAACCTACAACGTGACTACGGTGTCGGAATATGCGAGACACAGTGTGAGTATAAGGCCGACACGAGGAGTGTTTACCTGGACACCTGGAATTTGTCACAAAGTTTCAATCTAGCCTCACCTGACGTAAACAAACCCCAGTCATTTGTAGTACGGGAACGGTGGGGGATGTTCCACACTTCGGGCTTGGGTATGGTTGGCTGACGACGGCTAATAAGCCAGAAATGGCCATTCCAGTCTTCCTTGTCTTTGTCGGTAATGCCATTCTGCCTGGGTAATGGGAGTTTTTACAGGTGTGGCCGTGGAACGCACAGAAGAAGAGGCCGAGTTGTTGTATGCAGAAGAACAGCTGCTGGGAATGCGTGGTTGTACTTTGGGTGGCTAATAAATAGCTGCGCTTACCCTAACCCCTTTCCCCAAACCCAACAGTATTATGTCCACCAGGTGGGGCTACATAACCACATCTTATCGTTTCAGTTGGTGAACCAGACCCATAGGCGTTTCGAAAGCACAAGCAAGAAGGTGTGCATCGTGGCTTTGTGTTTTGACGCTTCAACCTATCTGCCCACTTATTCACCTGACAAATTTTGGCAAACGGAATTCGTAGGCTTTGGAAGTAAGCCTTGCGTGGATGCAGTGCAAATCCATACACAATGTTGGACACGCCAATATAGCGCATCAGTGGTGATATACATAGGCAGCAATGTCGACTACTCTATCACATCCGCGCCTCCACTAGGCATCGCAGCTTTGCCATGCCAACAGCCATAAATCGTCCATTTCGCAATCAAGAGAATGTCACGACGGTGGAAAACTAAATTAGGATTTGTAGGACGACTGTAGCTGCTAACTGGATCGTATCACGGACTGACGATGAGATCAGCAAAAGTTCATCTAGAGCGCGCCACGGTCCCGCTTTAGAGGAGAAGGGAAAAGACACCATTAGGAGTAGTATATTATGTTCAGAAGCCTGGTGGCTGTCACAACCCCCGATGAGGGGCCGGCTATTGGCCGGTGCGCTGGGGTGACGTGGTCGTGAGTAAACAAGCGTTACCTCAAAATCAGTACTGTCGGACTGATTACTTGATTGGATGATAGGCGAGCTTGTGGGCGTCTATGATTGGCTATCCTTGGGATTGGATGCTATCCTGATCCGGCGCTCGGGAGTCGAGATCACGTGACTCACAGCGCGGTGTGGGCGCCAAAGGCAGAGGGCTCAATCTCGTCTGAGGCGCTGCAGCCTAAGGGCGTTAACGTCGTCAGTGAAGATTGGGCAAACCTGCCTACGGTTCAGCTTTGCTCGAAAGAAGCAGCATCCTCATGGCTTGAAGGCGCATGCAGAGGTACGCTAACGCTAGGCTCAGAAAATTCTAATTGTCGAAGGCTAGTGAGTAGAATGGCCGCATCTGCTTGGGTCGCAGAACACATCCGATTCATAATGCGGCTCTTTCAAAAAAACTGGCACTGCCTCAAACTAAAATGAAAAGAAATGAAATGACAAGAATTTTGTTGTATATCGGGAGCGGATGGGGTGTAACCTCTCTGATACACGATGGCCAATATGTGCCTGCTTATCTAAAACGTCTATTTCATGGTTTCTTTAATACATCCGTCATTTTAACTCCTTTGCATCCCTACGTGCTCATTTGCGTAGCCTTTTCGATTTTTACCACAGGTTTCCATCACATTCAGTTGTCGGCAGCGCACTATAAAGTGGAGACGGTCATCATGGAAACATACATTCTATTTCCTGTCAAGCCCTAAGGCGTATTATTAAATACTGCGGTTATGAATGACAGATGGCGATTTCACGTCGAATGCTACTGTGAAACAAACAAAAGTTGGACATGCCCTACCGAATGTGCAGTAATCAAGCTCAAAGATACAAGTGGCTAATTCTATTCAGCATCTACAGACGAATAATAGCACTTTAGAACAATTAGCATGCATATTCTATTTTGGAACCGACGCGCCGTGGAGGATATCATTTTTCAAATTTCATGCGTCCAATAAAAAAGCACATCCGACAGACAGATATAAAAATATGATTGTAATATTTAAGCGAAAAGTACTTATAATAATGCCCTGTCCTTTTACTCTGGGCCGAAGAGGTAATCAAAGGGTGCAAATAGAACCAAATGCTTTGGAATACCCTTTGGCCGAATTTTGTACATGTGGGGACGTGAATGAAAGTAGCAATCTAACTTCGTCATGACAAGGCCTAACCAGGCATCGTCTATCGGAAACTGCTTGGTGAAGTACATGGCCAGGGCAATCTCCTGCAGGACATCAGCACCAAATGCAAGGAAAATGCTGGGGGCGTAGGGCGCGAGGATGGGCCAGGGCATTTCTCGTTTGGATAGAGACCACTTGTCATAAAATCCGGGATAAGGGTGGCGAAATACCCTACTGATATTAAATGGCAAGCCCAGAGTCAGTCGTCGAAGTTGCGAGTTGGGGAGGGCGTCCAACTCAGTCCTAAGAACGCTCACGTTGAAGGCGTAGTCATCGTCCATGAGGATGAAAACGGGAGGTCGTTTCTGAGAGATAAAATGAGCTCGACAGAAGCTCGAGGCCCACTGGAAGGTGTGAAATAATTTCAGGCTCAGGTTATAGTAGGTGTCCTCGTAGTCACCCACTACAAGGTCACCGTTGATTCGGGCCTCCTCTGCAAGTTTCCTTAAAATTTCCGGTCTCTTGGACTCTATCTTCTCCATGGTTTCGCCTGCCCGGTCTGGTAGGGAGATGTTGAAACCGTCTCTTTCAAATGACCGACCTCCGCTGCCGCGAGGTAGTCCTACGGAGAAGATCATGGCCATGTGGAAGGTGGGTTCACGCTCGGCCTCTGTAGCATAGATCTTTCGAATACGATCACGATCTGCAAAGTTGTAGACGGCGGACTTAACCATCACAATGACATCCAGGGGCCTTGTGACTGTTCCTTCCGGCACGCAGACAGTCGAGCTGACGTTAATAAATCTGATTGTCTGGTTGAATATGGGGGCCTAACAATGTAAAAGGACGCATTCGGTCAAAATTGTGGCAGCACAGTCGAACGAAGTGTGTTTTGCTGAACGGATGTTTTAATAAATTTTCAGAGTCAACACAAACAGTTCCAGTCGGCCAGACATATGCACAGATTTAGTAAAACGTTCATCGAATACAGCAACATGTTGCTGTGATCCAAGCCGCCATGCTCTGCGTTTGCTTTGTTGTAACCTGATTCGAGCTTGTGTGGCAACCACAGACGGGCTGTCTAGCCTTAACAGTCGATGCGCTCGATCCCTCATCTGGTCACCATGACCCATGTCATGCGCCGCTGTGCGGCTGCTGGTTGGGCTCGAGAGAGGGCCCGTAAGACACAACGGAACGAGTGAGTTCCGTAAGGACGATCGGTGAGCGCCCCCTACTATCGTATATTCCCGATCGAAATCGACAAGGCAACGGGCTCGTGGCCCAGTGGTTAGAGGCGTTGTCTCCTAACTAACAGGTTGTGAGTTTGAGCCTCGCACGTTCAACACTTCGGGGTTGGGTATGGCTGGTTAACGACGGCTAACAAGCCATAAATGGTCATTCCAGTCTCCCTTGTCTTTGTCGATAATGCCATTTTCACCATGACCCTTTTCCTGACAACTGGCACAGAGCGCTGGTGGAAGTTAGACTGCGACTGATGCAGCTAAGGTCAATTATCACTAAAAAATTAATTCACGCCGTCGCCACTGTTTCTGCGCCCAGCATACTGGACGGCATGCAGTGGACATCGTCTGGAACGATGGTATTACAGATTATACATGAGTTAGCCTAGGGTTTCGAATATGTGTGCAACATGGGCCCCACTTTCTCTCCACATTGTCACTTACAGCATGCCTCACTGTAAGATCGACCGAGGATACTCCTATCCGTTTCCTGAAAATTGGAGACCGGCATGCCAAGAGGTATCGATGATGTGTGGGAAGGAGGGTTTTGTTTGAAGCCACTATCAGTACAACCAATCAAAGAGTGATTGTTTTCTGTAAATGATCGATCTCCCGAAATGCTAGTCGAAATTCTAAAGCACATTTACAAGTAGGAAGGTTTACGTAGGTGAAATTGTAATATTGGGCACTGGACAACTTAATTTCATAATATTTCAGTCACGCCAAGATGCTGACTTTCAAATTTACTTCTTTTCAAACGTTTCGTCAGAAGCATTGCTTGTGAAATATGCATTTTCTCTATTTATTTTTGTGTGGGAAAGAAAATTGACCAAATCGAGCTTAGTTGCCCTTATTTTGTAGTTAATCATGTCTTCTTCAAATCTTTTACTTGAAAGTGTATTATCGATCGGTCTTAGAAATTTCCAATTACGAGAACTTCAGAGACTTCGAAATGTCCACACATAAACCATGGTACATGCACGACGTAGATGATTCTTATGAATTGTACAATACATTTTTCATAGTATTTCCTTGTTTGTCATGATGGAATTCATAATGTGCAGTAGGTGGGCTAACTCACGAAATGCCTTTTCGATTCGAAAAGATTAATTAAGTAGGGTTACAAAACTAATCTGTCTGCGGCGTTCTTCTATTATAACTCAGTTGCTTCAGGATGTCGGCTCTCCAACAAATTTTTTCGGCTTCGTGCAGAAACCATACTTTGTAAAAATGACTACTTAAGTAGTATGTATTTTGTCAGTGATTTTCAATGCCCCTAAAAATTCAATTATATTTCACAGAAGACATGTATATAAATATTCAGTATTTTGCTCATTTGACTGAACCTCCCGTCTTCCTTTTATACATGAGGGGAGGGTACAATACTGGTTTCGACAACTTCTCCAATACCCTAACATTTTTGAACTCGACCTGCCATTAAACCTGCAGTCAGGCTTTCAAAACTACAATGCGGTGTATTTTCCATGTACAGAAAGCCATATGTTTCGCTACGGTTTCGCTTACGGAGTTCATAAAATTTGGCAGTGGGTGTGTGCAATATTGTTAACTTTACAAGCCACATTGGTAAATGCAGAGACATGATGTTTCGTGAACGGTCATTTGGAGATATTGAAAAAATTGACATTTAGAAACTTTTTTCAAAACCGAATTGTACCTTTCTTTCGCGTGTAAAGTTAAAAGAACACGCAAGATTCTACTGAATGAGCAAAATAATGAATTTGATACGCATGTTTTCTAGTAAATATGATTCAATATTTAAGGGCATGGAAAATCAATGAGAAAAATGCACGCTAATTAAATAGTTCTTTTTTACAAAATATTGTTTCTGCATGCAGCCAAAGAGAAATTCGTTGGAAATCCGACATCTGAGAGTAACTGGGTTATGATAGAATTACGCTGCAAGAAGATTAATTTATCAACCCTTCTAAATTTATCTTTTTGAAACTAAAACGCATTTCGGAATTTAAGTTGACACCTCCTGAGTTAGCCTACCTACTGTAGTCAGCCGTGAGCTTCTCAGAATCGTGCGTGCAAGACGATTACGGCATCTGTCTTACTCTCGTCTCCTTCAACAAACTGGAGCTGGTGGCAAGATAGAATTGGAGGCGTACTCATGGGCAGTGGTTGACAAAGGTAAACTGCCCGTGCATGCGTGTAACAAAGGACTTGATCCACGCATAATGAACCGGATTTTCACGCTGACCAGAAATCGTCTTCGAATTCACGTTCGTGTGAGTGCAATGGAAACCACTTTCAGAAGTATTCATTGAGTCCTACTCTGAGTCCTTGAGCCAGTCGCCTACCATAAACGCCCAGTGAGGTGTGTGTCATAATAGTGCAAATCGGATGTCTACCGGCCAATACGTTTTCCGTGGATGTGGAAACTTTTGCGACCTCAAAAGCGTTTTGTGCAGCTGTTGCGCAGTGCTTTTTTAACTTTCATGTAATATGTGGCCTGTCGCCTGAAAACTTCGCACCATTCCCAAGCACAATCAACTCCTTGTGTACGTCTTAAAACTCATTTCTGAAGGCGCACATGTCTAGGGAACGAGAAGCACAAATCATAAAATATCTCCTCAATCTTAAGGACCTAGGCTTTATAAATGAACAAGAGTCTGAATCCTCAAGTCCACAACACAGACCCCTGGAGGCCATTTGGATAGCCAAACCTAACTTCCCTATACGGTTTAAAGTAGTCTTGTTCAGTTCGCCATCTCTGCAAAGTGGCTGGCAGACAGGCTAGGGGCCACGCTGAAGTCATCGATCCCGTAAGAAATAGAAATTTTAATTGAAACAGAATATTGTCCTTAGGTGCCCCGTCCTTGTTCAATAATATTTCAATAGCGGAACCGATTGAATTTTTGTACAATGAGATAGTTAGACAGGTCTTCCCAATTGGCATGTCAGTCGTAGATCTTAAAGAGCCGCTCTTTCATTGCAGGTTGAATGTTCACCTCAGATTCGGAAGCCATTTTTACTCTACAGATGGACGACGTAACAATGGGATTGCTCGTTGAACCAGTATTCCTGGAAATACTTGGAAAACACCAGCTCCGATATTTTGATCACACTTTCATGACAACAGATGAGACAAGTGAGGTATAAACTGAATCGGTCTCGCTCAACAATACCATTCACTTTAGAAATAGAGAAAAGAGGGCGTTTCCCCTTTTCTGGACATAATACTTAATTCGAAGCCTGATGGACCAATTCTTAGGTGTGTCTTTCATAAGTAAACATAGACAGGGCAGTATAGTAATTTCTACAAATTAATTCCTTTGCCTCATAAACATAGCTTAGTCTTCTACCCAGCCAGCCGAACTAAAAGAATAAGCATTGATGTTAAGATAGAGATGGAAATGGCCTTTGCGTAGAACTCCTTGCGAAAAAAAAACAACTTTCAGGATACGTTTTTCCCGAAATATATGAAAGAACATCCCTCGAAAACGGACGCGCTCACGGCTGAGAAGAAGGAACAATTTTCACACTGCTATTTCGAGGTGGCATTGTAAATACACTTCTACATATCATCTTGAAGCCATTTATCGCGTGCTCATATCAAGCCGCGAATTTAAGATTCGTTTTCTCAGTCAATCCGCGTCTTCGTCTTTAAGGTTAGGCCAGGTTCTTAATTCAAACTTTATCAATCCCAGTCTGCACCTTCATTTGTTTCTGTTAGCCCGAACGCCTAGGCGCCTGTCTAAACGGATGCGAGAGCTCTATCCTTGCTGGGTCAATCAAGGCATGGAAAAATCTCTTTTTAGCTCCACGGTGTATTGCTTGGTTTACAGCGCCTACCGGGTATACATCAAAGAAATATTTTGAGTTATCTACAAGGGTCCGACAAGACACCCCAAGTTTCTGCGCCAGCGGATACCTGCGATAGTGGCAAAAAGTTTTACCAATCCAACCTTGTGCTCACAGAAGGCTTCATACAGGCACACAAAATACCTTACCACAGGATGAGCCCAGCATGTTCGTCCCAGCATCCTACAACGTCGCGCAACAGCGACAAGAATTAAGCACAATTCACTGTAATACTTTCGCCGCTCTCCCGCCTGCCAAACTTCTGGCAGAACCAGTATTTCTGAATATCCTTGAGTCTCTCTCCTCGCAGATAGTATTCGCTGGCTGTTTCCACTTTCGCTATTTCACCCTGACGTCGGTTAGTGTGCAGTCCTGAGGTCGGATGATCGAACAGGTGCGTTCACTGAACTCGATGTCACCTATTAATAACACCCACAGACTTGATGTTTTGATCAAATTACCTCGTAGAAAGTAGTATTTGCTCCTTAAAAATGCGGTGTCCGCTTATAGGGCGAGCATAGAAATTGCCACCCGTGGAGTCTCAATCCAGATTACTTTGATTAGGTGGTCATAAATACTCCATTCACTGCATTTAGGAGAATTTGTGAAAGCTTGGATAATAACCACTCAACTACCGTGCCAGCGTACTGGGGAGAATTAGATGA